ATCTTATTCACCCATGGATGTGCTATCAACTGGTTGCCAACCTTGAGAAATGTCACAGTAGTCCACTGGGCTCAGAAAGGACAAATGGTCCGTGGGGGAAATGCTGCAAGGCAGGCTCTGAGTGACATGCCCTTGTGGTTTTCATGGTCCTTCCCCCTCTCAACACCCCCACTTCAGCCTGCAGCCCACAGGGGGCTCAGCAGGGGAAGGGAGCAGTTTGTGCCTGCTTAGCAAGTGGAGGAAAAAGGTGAGGTCAGAGCATAGTGGTCAAGGAGTGACCTTCTACCTATTTTCTCATGGAAAAGTGTCTACTGACCGCGTTGTATGTGGGAGGTCTCATAGCTGATAGCCCATTTGTCACTTTGATCTGGGTTTCATGAAATCCCCATGGTATGTTTTCGTACTCATAGGAGGTAGCATTTGATGGGGTCGTGGTGTTGGGACAGATTTGAGAGAAATAAACATCATCACCCTGATCAACCTAGGTTGTCAGGAAGAAAAAAAATTCTGAAAAGGAGATTTATCAAGTAGGTGAAAGATGGACTCTTTTAAGGGTCAGAAAGGATAGGGGATTTCCCCATGCAGAAAGAAGCCCCTGGGGTTTTTGTTGCAATGACAAGAGGGGCCTAAACTTTCTTCTTGACCTTTCATGGCTCCTGTGAAGAATCTGTGACCTTTCCCAAAGCCAGGGCCAGAGGTGGCCTGGCCTGCATTTCCCAGCAGATGCAGGATGCCCAGTTCATACCTTGTTGGGATTCTCTGAGCACTGTTGTCGACTTACACAGAGTGGTTGGGAAGTTTGCAAACCAGAGCAGCAGCCTCTGTAACTAGTTATTGATTGAGAAAAGGGCTTCCTAGGAGCAGCAGAGCTTAGCGGGATGAATAAGGGGTGGTGGGGCAGACATACCCGGACTTGTCCACTGGGCCCTGTCACTAGCAGCCCTGTCGTCTTGAGAAGAATACTTGTCTCTTGGCATCAGTGTCCTCATCTGTAAAATGGGAAGAATAATGACAGCATAAGGTGACTGGGAGGTATGAATCATACACATTATCCATCGTGCCCAGCACGGCGGCACATCCAAGATCCTCCGTAAATCTGCAGACCTCAGGGAGCGGGGCTGCCTCTTGTCCCCACAGGAACCACAGCAGGTGAGACGTTCCTGGAACACGAAAGGGCCAGCTCAGCTTTTGTTCTTAAGGCTTCTGCCTACAACCTAATCAAATGGATCATTCTGAAAACAGAACTCAAGTAAGAGCTGATTTCAGAAGGAAATTGTGGTTTGGGGGAAGGTACCGAAGAAAAGCGATCTCCAGCTTCAGATCTTAGCTCACAGATCTCCCAGGACAAGTGACTTCCCTTGGTGTCTTCATGTGCAAATGAGGGGGTTGGATGAGAGCAATTGTTTTCCAACTGTGTTCTGAAGAACCCATGTATCCCCCAGGTGCCTCAGGGTTCTTCAATATTTTCCTTAAAATTTCTTTCAAAAATATTTCAAACTGTTTGTCCAGGCTCTGGAACCAGGCTGATATGGCTGGGATCTTAGCTCCAACAAATCCAGCCATGTGACTTTGGGCAGGTTGTAGAATCTAAGACTCAGCTTCCTCTTTTGTAAATTGGGAATAATAACAGTATCTTTAAAATAGGGTTGTTGAGAAGATTAAAGAGGTTTACGAGATAAGCCCTCACTAAATGCTGGCTGTCATTTTGCCACCTACTGGACATTACCAGCCTCTTCATTTGTTATACAGTAGGAATGGTTTCTGTGCTGGACTCTGGGCTTAGAACAAAATCCAAATGCTTCACCGTGGTCCACAACAGAGGCCGGCAAACTTTTTTGGTAAAGCGCCAAGAAGTAAATATTTCAGGCTTTGAGGGTCTCGTGTCCTCTTGTACTCACCTCTGCCCTTGTATCCAGGAAGCAGCTGTAAGCAATATGTCAATGAATGAGCATGGCCATGTGCCAATAAACTTTATTATAATTTTAAAACTAAACTTAAAAAAACAAAAAAAACTTTATTATAGAGACTGGAATTTGGATTTCCTATAATTATTGAGTTGTGTCCTGACATAATATTCTTTTTTTGAAATTGAAGTATAGCTCATGTACAGTGCTGTGACAAGCTCTGCTGTACAGCAAAGTGACTCAGTTTTACACATATAGACATTCTTTTTTTGTATTCTTTTCCATTGTGGTTTATCCCAGGAGACTGGATAGAGTTCCCTGTGCTATACAGTAGGACCTTATTGTTTATCCGTTCTAAATGTAATAGTTTGCATCTACCAACCCCAAATTCCCAGTCCATCCCTCTCCCTCCCTTCCTCTCCCTTGGCAACCACAAGTCTGACCTCTATGTCTGTGAGTCTGTTTCTGTTTTGTAGATAGGTTCGTTTGTGCCGTATTTTAGATTCCATATATGTGATACCATATGGTGTTTGTCTTTCTCTTTCTGAGTGACGTCACTTAGTATGATAATCTCTAGCGTCCGTGTTGCTGCAAGTGGCAATATTTTGTTTATTTATGGCTGAGTAGTATTCCATTGTACATAGATATGTACACCACATCTTCTTTATCCACTCATCTTCGATGGACATTTAGGTGGTTTCCATGTTTTGGCTATTGTGAATAGTGCTAGTATGAACATAGGGGCGCTTGTATCTTTTTGCACAATATCCTTTTGATGTTTTTCGACCATTTAAAATTGTAAAAACGTCCTTAGCTTGTGGGCTGGACAAACACAGGGCTGTAGGCCAGATTCTGCAGAGCCCTGGTGTACAGGGCCCCGTGTTTCTGGGTCTGCCTTCCTCTCCTGACTCATTTCCCCCCACTTCCTGCCATGCTCATGAAGGTTTAGCCCGCGGACCCCCTTTGTTCTAACCCTTAGCTCCTTCCCACGTGGGGGCTTTTGCACTCATTCTGTCTCCCCAGGAGCCTCCTCATTTAGCTCTTCACCACAACCAGTTTCTACTCAAGCCTCCACTGCTGGCTTCATTGCCACTGCTCGGGTACACCAAAGCTGGCCATCCCATCTCAAGTAGCATCCGCTGCCCTGCATCCCTTCCCAATGTACTACCATATAACCCATTTTCCTCCTAAACAACGTGGATCAACACCTGTAATTATTTTGTTTACTTGTGGATTCATTGTCTATCTCCAAAATTCATGAAAGCAGGGACCTTGTTTTTTTTTTTTTTTTTGCGGTACGCGGGCCTCTCACCGTTTTGGCCTCCCCCGTTGCGGAGCACAGGCTCCGGACACGCAGGCCCAGCGGCCATGGCTCACAGGCCCAGCCGCTCCACAGCATGTGGGATCTTCCCGGACCGGGCACGAACCCGCGTCCCCTGCATCGGCAGGCAGACTCCCAACCACTGCGCCACCAGGGAAGCCCTGGGACCTTGCTTTTTGATTTGCCGCTGTACCTCCACCTGCCACCTGCTAGGAACGTAGCATTCAATCAGTGTTGTAGAATGAAGGACAACCTTAGGATCTTAGTATCTTAATTTCTCTCATACGAGTTAATGATACCTGATCTCCTTACCTTGAAAAATTGTTTTGAGGATCAAATGAGAATGTGCTTTTAAAACTATAAACAATTATACTTGGGGAAGGTCGTAAAATCATTAGGGCAGCCTCTTAGACAAATCACAGAATTCAACAAACACCCCAACTTTTACCATTCTCCTCTTACTACAGAAGCTAAATTATGGGGCAGATAGTAAAGTGACACCAGTATGAATGAGGCTGTTTTATTCCTTGTCCCTGATATTCCCCATAGACAAGAGGAATGGCTAGATGAGTGATTTTATCTTGGCCTTAGCAAAAAGCAATTTAGTTATCAGCATGTAGTATCTTTTTATTATTAGCATGTAGTATTAGGTATTTTATATTATCCTATTTGATGCTCATAAGCATGCTATAAAAAATCATTATGCACCATTTTTCCAGGTGAAATGAGTTTAAGGGATCTAGGAAGTAGCTGAGCCAGGATCAGAACATGGCTCTATCTGACTCTGGAATTAGGGGTTCCTCTCCGGTACAATATCAAGTTCCTCTTCAGTGATACAAAGACTTTCTGAATTGTCCCATCAATACAATGACAACCAGCAAGCCACATAAACCTTGGCATCCTTTCATGGTCAGGAGCAAGCCATCTGGGTTTTACATGTTTATTTTGGGCAAAATGACGCATTCTCTTTCTTTCGAAGGAAAACTGCTTTTTGGTCCTCAAACAACTTTTCAAAAAAAAAAAAAAAAACAAACATTTTTGCTTATTTAAGCTTAAACAGATCCAAAGCACAATGATTCGTTTTCTTTGGATGTGCAGGCAGCCTGTACGTATATCACAAAAGGGCAAAATGAGCTTGGGAAACTGTCAAGCACAGAACAGCTGAGAACCAGCCACAAGGCTAACCACAGCTTGGTCTTTTGTCAGATCTGAGCATTAGCTGTTAAGTTTCCTCAGTAAGTAAACCCTGCAAGGGTAGTAGCCAGTTGCGCCAATGAAAATGTGTGTTCATGTTCTCGGTATACATTTGCATACATGGCTTATTTTAAAACCTATTAGCTTAACATATCATTACTTCAGAAATGGGGTCTATGGCTTTTAGTAGTGTGGAACCCAGTTTGAACTGGAATTGTCCTCTCTCTGACCCAAATTCTTTCTCTATGCATCATTCCTGGTACACCTCCTCCGGGTGGGTAGTGGTGAGGGATGAAGCCTCGCACGTGGGGCAGAGGAAGCGTTTTGGAGCTCGCTCTTTCATTCCTGGGTGGGTTTTCACATCTCCAGCCAGGATGGCTCAGAGAGATGCCCAACCAGAAGGGAGCAGAGGCCCACGGTGCTGCCGGAGCCTCCTCTCATTTCCTTGAGCAGCAAGTGCCCCGCTGAGGGAAGGATCCCACTCTTAATGGACATTTGTGAAATAATAATGAGCACAGCAACGTCTGAGGACATGATAGGCGTCGAGACCACTCAGTGTAATATGAGATCGCTCTGGATCGACTGAGGACACAGTTTCTCTTTATTAAATCATCTAGGAACCACTTAAATGGAGCTGCTCATGGAATGGAATGAACTAATTACAATGGTGCCAGAGCTGTATGGAGAAGAGCACGCAGCCAGGAAAAGCACAGATGCCACAGGTACTTTACAAGGAATTTGGCGACACAATTAGGTGTGGTTTCCTCTTTTATAATTACAAACCCTTTTCACCAAATAAATATGCCTGAATCACATAGAAAAATGATACATAGCCTTATAAATGAGAAAGAAACCAATACACCTCCCCAAACAGGTTTAAAATGGTCTATGTGTAACCAAAATGCTTCAGGATGGTGTTCCCAATCTTGCGTGGCAATCAAAGAAAGAACCAGTACATATTTCCCATTATACATACATATGTATCCTGTACAGAGTCCAAGAATGGTTGAGCAGCTGCAAAAATTCCAATTTCTGTGTGAGTAATGGCAGCTAAATGGTGCAGTGTAAAACATTTGTAAGAACTGATGGTATATTAAGTTCTGACTATTCATCATCATCATTTTAAGCTTACACACACGGAACAAAATAGTATATGTATTTAAAAATCAAGTGATTTCCTCTGCATTTAGAGGCGACTTTTCCCCCTTCCCTTGAATTTCTGTTACAGCTAGTCACTTCCCTAGGAAAATTCAATATGTTGCGGTACGAAAGAGAAGCAAATCCAAAGTGAATCCTATGTTTAAACATGAAAAGCATCTGCCGTCACCTAACAAAATATCCCCCCATCACCTTAGTAAAGTGAATATTCACCTAAAATAGATATTAAGTCGCTCTTTTCCCTTCCTTCCTCCGCCCGATCTCATCCCTCATGGCGAGGCAGCAAGACTGGCGTCTCCGAGTTCTGACACGTGTGCAGGACTACAATTTAAATGCAAATAACCCTGCGCCTCATTATCTGAGAAGTTGGTGCAGACGGGCCAGTTGTGACTGTGCCTGCGAAAGTTAAAGGAGGCTCATCTGTATTCCAACACACGCGTGACTTAGAGTAAATTCAAAAGAGCAATTCATCGCTGCTTTCAAATTAGACACCGGAGCGGCAGAGTGCCTAGGTTACGAGGAATACCTCCCTTACCACCCAGGGACGCCTTTCTACAAAGGCAACGAGATAGGAACCTCTCTGCAGTTCTTCAGTCAGTCCCCAGTGACACTAGGTAATTGAAATAAGAGACTTGACTTAATACGGATACAGCTAGTTGAGTGGAAAAGATACATTTATGGTAATGCTAAGCACAACTGAATGACAATCTATAGGTATTCCAAATTCCACTGACAGGAAAATGACCACAGCAGCCTAAAATGCAAGAAAAGTATCAACAATGATTTACCAAACTGACATCACTCCAGAAGATATTTTTTATTTTTTATTATTTTCATTTTTTGCAAAATTGTCTTTCAAATATAAGGTTACTTTAAAAGAATTCTTTGGTTAAAGTATAATTAAAATAAAAACTAGAGACTCCCCCAAGCCTTTCAATACAGGGTGAAAAATACCCCCCTCTTTCAGCCATCAGATGGCCATTTAATCAGCCATTCAGATTCTATGAATCTAAATGTAATGGAAAACACTGTATTCTGAACTCCTTGCTGGGGTGAAGCAATAAGCTCCCAGCTACCATTGCAGTGATGGAGAGGGAGCCTGGGAAAATGAAACCCCCAGCCTGTGCATTAAAATGTGCCAATTATTCTAGTCCACAAAGGAATAGACGTGGCATTTTAAAATCACTGAAACCAAAGTCTATCTGTGAATAATACTGAGCCATTAGCGGGTTGGTGTGGCACACTTGTGCAGGCAGCAGACTGTTTTGGACTTTCAATCCCAGATTAAATCCTTTAGTTAATTTTATCTCAGTTTATTTCAGATAACTTTCAACATTAAAAAAAAAAAATTTCCTCTCTACAGAGGAAAACCATTTGCTTCTTCCAATCTGGCATTTCCTTCCTTTCTCCCTTGCTTCCTTCCCCCTCTCCCTCCCTTCTACCTTCCTTCTTTCTCCTAGCCCCCCAAAACATTTAACAAGCAGCAGCCTCAGTTCAAAAGAAACCAGCCTGAACTTCGAGTTGTAATAGCAATTTAGAATTTTTAAATGGATATGAAATCATGTAATACAGTTGTCTCTTCCTTTTATTACACATAGATTCAACACAATTTCCAAAGAATTTCTCAACTGGAGTCCAAGTTTAGTTTTTTAATTAGGTAAATGTGAAAAGAGAATTTCATGAGAATTCAGATCATTCAGGCCATTTTGATCAACAATCTGGATAAAGCAGAGGAATAAACTCTTTGACTCAAGGTTTTCCACCCTAAATTATTCAGAAGATTATTTCAGATCTTTGCCTTCCTTTGCTCACACAGATGATGGCCTAAGGCTTTGTCCATATTGGACTAAGGACGCTGGACCGTAGCCCAGCTAAACCAATCTATCAGGTCATCAAAGGCTTAAGATCATGGAGAAGGAGAGAGGGATAACCTGTTCTGAACTTTGTTCTATACAAGTACAGACCCTGTCCAGAACACACTGCTACAATTTTCAAGGAAATCGAATACGAGATGTTCGCGCATTATTCTGAGCATTGAAAGTTCATGAAAATTTGTGGAGAATCTAATAAACATTATAGATCTGATTACAGTGGATTCACCTAATTACAGATAAAAGAATGACTGGCAGTGACATTGCACTGGCCATACTGTGACGTTTCTCGTAAAACCTTTAATATGAGTATTTCCCCCAGTTTAAGATGAAAACTTTTATATTAATCAATCATGTCAGCACAGAGTTATTTCTAGACCCAGAAGCTGGATCAGTGTTTGTGCAATGCTGGAAGAAATCAAGATTTGTTTCTTAAAATATAAAATTCATGACATATTTCTCTAAGTGACTTAAAAAAAAACCTCAACAATAATCCTCTTGCAGATTAACATACACAGCCAGCATCCTTTCACTTCCTCTTCTTTTCAAGGATCATCAAATTCTAGTTTCAAATAGGAGCACAGATCTATTTTTATACCCCATATGTTTTCTCCTTTGGGTTCTGAAGCTTGTTTAATGCTACAATGTATACTGACTTGTTTTACATGAATGTTCTCTTTAAATGGCTGAGATTTCATTTTGCGCATATATTCTAGAGTGAACTATACCATGCCAGACCATTGTCTGCTGCCGTCAACAGTCAGCTAGTCACACAATTAACTAGACATTGATAACTGTTTTCGTTTGACTGTCATTTGTTTTTCTTTTAAATAAACTCCCTCTAAATTCAGGAAGCAAGTGTGACGAGATACCACAGGATGTGGCTCTCCCAACTTTCCTTAAGTAGCCCTACCTACCTCTTTTAAATTACCATAGCAAAACAAACAAACAAATGAAAACGACAGCACAAGCAGCAGTGCAGTCGTGACTGTCATCATTTAAGTTAGTTCCCTGACTTCATAATACATCTCTGGATGTAACGGATGCATTTGTGGGTGTTCTGTTATGGTTGACATGTACTGTAAGCGTACAATGACCTGACCCTTGGTATGGTTTGTAACGACGTCCATATTGCACAAGAATGAGCTTCTTGCTGACTCCAAGAATGTATTTCACATACATCTGAAAATGTCAACATCCTTAACCAGTTAACATGGTCTAGACTCTCGGGGCGAAGACGAGCGAATCACGGTGATTCAGAAGTCCTGTGGCTCGTTAGGCTGTGACACGAGGAACTCCTTTGATATATTTGGCAAGTTGGTTGCTCCTACAATTGAATACTTCACACGTTTATCTTATCTTCCTCCTGAGTATCCAAAAGTGCTTTTGGAGAGTAAAAATGCTGTCTCCCCATTTCACAGATAGATAGAAGCAAGGGGGGTAGGACAGTAGCACAAAGCTGTAGTCAGCTTTTCTCTAGAGAAAATGTGATGTGGTGGTACCAGGGTGAAGGTTAGAGTCGTCCGGCAGATGGCCTGAGCCAGCAGCACTAGTGTGTGTGTGGGTCATACTGAGGGTAGAAATTGATGGGAGACCGCATGTTTTCTAATCACCTTAAAAGAATTCTGCAGCTTGGTTTTAACTGGAACATGGAGTTAAAAAGAAAAGAAAAGCCCATCACTGGACTGGCAGCTTGGTGTCCCTCCAGCTGGATTCTCCTGCATCTTTCCTCAGAGTGGGCTGGCAGCTCTCTTTGGGAGGACCCAGGCTCCTTAGCACAGATGGAGGGGAAGAAACATCCTCTGCTGTAGCAGGTGCCCCTGTATAGGAAGACAATTCTTGAAAGCCTTGTTAGCGAGGAAAGAGTCCAGGGAGAATGAATTTTTTTTCCCTGAATCAAGTCTTTCTCTCCTTGACATGGTCTCATCCTAAGAACATTAAAGCCTGAAAGGAAATATGCTAAATTATTTCTGAGCTGTCCACTTAGGATGTGGTGCAGACTTTCCCACTGTTACTAAGTACACGAAAAGACACTCTCCCGAAGCCTTCCTCACGTCTTTTCTTCTTGTCCGCTCGTGCGGTTATTCTTGCAGCAGGGTCTCTCTCCAGTTGAAGCCCCCAGTTGGTCCATGGGTAAGAGGGAGGATTGGTGGGTCTGTCAGCTGCCAGATTCCAGTTTCTCCTAATTCTTCACAGGAACAAAACCCCAAGTAGGGGATCTGAAGTAAGATAGTAAAGAAAGGGAAAACAGAAAACAGGTTGAGTGCTCTAACGTTTACCTAGACGAAGGAAAATTCAAAGGAATGAATAAGGGCTTTGTAGGCAAGCATCCCCTCCAAAATATTGAAAATGAAATGGAGAGAACTGATACATTAGAAGGAAGAGTATTTACAACGCAAGAGGATTCTTCGGAAGGATTCATTACATGGTGAGCGCTTCTAGTGCAATTCTTTATAGATGGTTTCTATATAGCACGGGAGGAAAAAAAGGAACTCATGTATAAAGCTAAGGTGCTAGGAGTTCATTCCTGATTACAAGTCAAGCTGAAAACGCAGCTCAAACATTTCTGAAATTATACTTGGACAATGGGAAAGATGAATCAAGTTTTAAGAATTAGTTTTATCCTGCTTTTTCTTGCATTTTTTGGCATGTGTGTCTAACACATTCAGAGCGGAAGCTGTGTGCCCTTCCTAACTTCAGTAGGCATGGCATTTCAAAACGTACTTGTGTGTGTGTCCAGAGTTGCATTTATGAACAAGACAAAAATCTCTGCCCTCAAGCAGCTTACAGACTAATGGGAAGGACAGACACGTAAGTAAGTTTTTAAAAAAATGAGAAAAGAGTTGCCGTCGAGTTTGAACCGGGTTCTCTGGGGATAGTTACGGGAAGCATATAACTCAGCCTGGAGGGAAGTGTATGTGGGAGGGTGGCTGACGGGAAAACCTCTTCCACAGGCATGAGAAGGAAGAATCCAGATGTGTTGGTCAGCCTGGTGGGTTTTCTGTCTCGCTGCCTTGTTCCTGGGTTTGCCTTTCAGCCTCATCATTTTGAATCACTGCTTCCTTTGGCCTATCCGCCAGGACCTCTCTTCCAGCTGAGCTATCAGATGCTGTGTTTTGGCCCACAAACCTCCTCCATATCCGTTGCACGGTCCCACAGGGAAATCCAGACAATTTGCTTATGATTCTTAGCTACTTCTTAAGTTTTAGCTCTTAGAAGCTAGAAGTAGCTCAAACACATCTTTTTCTCTTACCCAAGGCCTGATAAAGCGCCTTAAACAGAGCCCCATTCAATACATCTTGGTTGAATAAACCAATAAATGTGCCTTCCCAGCTCCAAAGAACTTCGCTATCAGCCAGCACCGAACCATTCTGAAGCTCCGAGGCCCCACAGGCCCCTGAAATGCAAGCAGGAATTACCTTTCGGACCATTTGTACAAAGTCCTTGGAGTTCTGAGGTGACAGGCCCTGAAGCTGGCAGGTACACGCTTCAAGGGAAGATGCGTGGGCCACAATCAGGATGTTATTTCCTGGGGGCAAAAAAGCAAGGACTGAAAAGACTGTTTCTATAAAGACATATGTAAACCTTGTAATAAGTACTGAAGCCAAGTGTTCCAGGGAGAGGCAAACATTTTCGAGAAGGAGACAATTCGGCCAAAAGCAAGATTTTGAAAATGCTTTGTATTGTTAAGGCAGCCTAATGGCATTAAAAACAAAAAACGAACAAACAAAAACAACAGAAAAACCCAACAACAAACCTACTTTTACTCTTAAAGTAATTAGATTCACAGGAGGTAACAAATACATATTTTACATATAAAATATACGTGTGTATATTTTATATATACTATATACACATATTATATAATATGTATATACATATACACATATACATACATATATACACAATATGTATCTTGCATATATACTATACACACACACACTAGGTAGGTCCCATGCACCCTTCACATAGCCTCTCTGATAGGAACATCTTGCCTAAGGTACACTATCAAAACTAGGAAATGAACACTGGTATAATCCACACAGCCTATTCGGATTTCACCAGCTTTAGCCAAGTCTATCACATGTGGAGCTTTGGGGAACCATCACCTCCAATCAAGGTACAAAACTGTTCTATGTCTACAGGCCTCTCTGCTATTCTAATATATTATAGTTTTTGATGTTGCCATTGTAGAGCTGTGAGCACTTGAGACTTTCTGGTTGATAGAACAAGCTGAGTTTCTTTGCAGTGGGGCTGGGTGGTACCACAGGGGTGGTCATGAAGTGAGTGGCTTACAAGTGATAACTGAAAGGCGGGAACCATCCACAATACTGTTGACCAGGGCTACCCACTGTTAACTTTCTGGTGTACGTACATCCAGCCTTTGCTCTAGGAAGATAAATATTTTAACTTTTAGTGGGGGATGGGAACGTGCAGACTCTCTTATAATCTGCCCTTTTTACTACAAATATTACAGTCCTACACATCATTAAATATTTGAGTTCAATGATTATAAAATTCAGTGGCAGACTTGAGTCGTATAGCACACTGCTCTTGGTTGGTGGTCGTAGTGACGGTAGGTGTATTTGTGTCAGTGTGTTTGTGTGTAGGTGTCCATGCTCCTGGATCAAATTAGAGGCAAAACAGTGTTATGGTAAAGAATTTCTGGAAACTGTAATAGGGAACCTCCTTCAGAGAGTGGAAGATAAATAGCTGAAATGCAGAATTCTGTTATTTCATAGAGTAACTAAGTCTGATGTATTTCCACGGAATATCTACCATTTGAGGTACTCAAGAGAATAGTACAAATTTAACATGAAAGTATAAGAGAGTCTGGAAATATTTTTCTTTCCTACTAAGCAAGTTTGTCAAAGCACGCTGAACCATCTTGAACAGCCAATTAACCATGGTGGAAAAATGATCACAGATTTAACTATGAAGTCCAAAATAATACCTACCTTTACTTTTACATTCACTTATTATTTCCTTTGTTACTTGGAAACTTCTACTGATATAGGTGTCATAGGATTCTGAAACCACTAATTTGCTGACTGGAATGTGAGGTCTGCAATAGAAAAATGAACAAAGGCATCGAAAACATTTTGATCCCAAGACAAAGCAACTGACGTTACTCTAAGTTTTAGTTCAAGACCTTTCTAAAGTTCCCATATTTCTGTTTATCCATTTCCCTAGAAAGGATGGAGGCACAGGGAAGAGTATTTCAACTATGTAGAAGTGGGGTCCTAATATGCAGAAGGTACAGAAATAAAGGCCATGTGCGCATGGTGTCAAAGTGACCAGCTGAAGAATGAAACATTCAGTTCAGGCTTCCCTTGCAGGATATCTCATAGCAGTTTGACTAATTTTACTGACAGTCAGTCCCAGGTCACATGAATAAGAGGAAGCCAAGCAGAGGTTGGATCTCTTTATCTATTTAAATCACCAGAGATTTCCCAAGCCTCTAGTAGGCTTGCACACGATAAGCAGTAAGGGTAAGTTTTACTTAATCTTTTTCCAGTTCCATTGGGATTTCATTGATGTATAACATGGTGTAAGTTTAAGGGTATACAAGGTATTGATTTGATACATTTATACATTGCAAAACGATGACCACCATAGTCTTAGCTAACACCTCCATTATGTCACATTTTCTTTTTGGTGGTGAGAACATTGAAGCTTTACTCTCTCATCAACTTTCAAGAATATAATACAGTATTGTTAACTATTATCACAAGGCTGTACATTAGATCCCCAGAATGTATTCAGCTTTTAACTGTAAGTTTGTAGCCCTTTGACCAGTCTCTCCCTATTTCCGCCTCCCCACGGTCCCATGGGTGTCCATGCTACTCTACTGTCTGTTTCTCTGAGCTTGGCTTTTTGAGATTCCACATATAAGTGATATTATGTGGCGCTATCTCTCTGAGATCTTGTTTTCATTTCCTTTGGATATACCCCAGAAGTGGGATTGCTGGATCATACGGTAGTTCTATTTTTAATTTTTTGTGGACCCTCCATAGTGTTTCCGTAGTGGTTGTACCAGTTTACATTCCCACCAACAGTGCACAAGGATCCCTTTTCTCAGTAGAACTACCACATGACCCAGCAATCGCACTACTGGGCCTATACCCTGAGAAAACCATAATTCAAAAGGAGACATGCGGGCTTCCCTGGTGGTGCAGTGGTTAAGAATCCGCCTGCCAATGCAGGGGACATGGGTTCGAGCCCTGGTCCAGGAAGATCCCACATGCCACGGAGCAACTAAGCCCATGCGCCACAACGACTGAGCCTGTGCTCTAGAGCTTGTGAGCTACAACTACTGAGCCTGCATGCTGCAACTACTGAGCCCGCATCTTGCAACTACTGAAGCCTGTATGCCTAGAGCCCATGCTCTGCAACAAGAGAAGCCACCGCAATGAGAAGCACGTGCACCGTAACCAAGAGTAGCCCCCGCTCGCCGCAACTAGAGGAAGCCTGCACGCAGCAACGAAGACCCAACACAGCCAAGAATAATAAAATAAATTTTAAAAAAGATCCTGCTGTGATTTACGTCAAAGAGTGTTCTGCCTATGTTCTTCTCTAAGAGTTTTATAGTGTCCGGCCTTACATTTAGGTCTTTGAGCCATTTTGAGTTTTTGTGCACAACTGACTTCTGTATGTTGATTTTGTATCCTGCAACTTTGCTGAATTTGTTGATTAGTTTTGACAGTTCTAGGATTTTCTGAGTCTTTAGGATTTCCTATATATAAGATCATGTCATCTGCAAACAAAGAGAGTTTCACTTCTTCTCTTCCAATTTGGATGCCTTTTATTTATTTATCTTGCCTAATTGCTCTGGCTAGAACTTCCAGAACTATGTTGAATAGCAGTGGTGAGAGTGGCCATGCTTGTCTTGTTCCTGATCTTAGAGGAAAGGCTTTCAACCTTTCACCATTGAGTATGATGTTAGCTGTGGGCTTGCCATAAATTGCCTTTATTATGTTTAGATATGTCCCTTCTATATCCAATCTGTTGAACAATTTTTATCATGAAGAGGATGGTGTATATTGTCAAATGCTTTTTCTGCATCTACTGAGATGATCATATAATTTTTATCATCTTTTTTTCTAAATAAATACACCACAATAAATGTGGTGTATCATTTATTTATTTTTTCTAAATAAATATACCACAATAAATGTGGTGTATCATTTATTTATTTTTTCTAAATAAATATACCACAATAAATGTGGTGTATCACATTTATTTTTTCTAAATAAATACACCACAATTGATGTGGTGTATCACATTTATTGATTTTTGTATGTCGCACCAGCCTTGCAACTCAGGGATGAATCCCACTTGATCATGGTGTATGATCCTTTTGATGTGCTGTTGAATGTGGCTTGCTAATATTTTGTTGAGAATATTGGCCTGTAGTTCTCTTTTCTTGTAGTATTCTTATCTGGCTTTGGTAACAGGGTAATGCTGGTCTCATAAAATGAAATAGGGAGTTGTAAGGATAGGTTTTTAAAGGAGATATTAGGTCCATTGGACTTGTGAGCTAATAACGCTTCACCGGCCTTTCCTTTTCTTTCTTAGTTTGAACACAGAACACATACCTGGCAGTTGGAGAAGTCCAGGGAACATAAAGATGAAGAAAACCCAATTTCTATGTTTGAGGAGCTCTCTGTGTGTGGTTTGGGTGAGTAAGCTATTGATGTAAATGATAATTATGACACGATGTACAAACGCATATAAGACGATGGTCAAAGCAGGGCCCTCCGATCCTGGTGACCCTGAATGTCTTCAATCCCGGTCACTTCTGTCTTCCACCTTCCTTTGCTATTTAGTTTTCTGGTCTATGAGGTGTTTACCTTGTTTTTCTGAGTATAACTGTGTCATATTTTCTTATTTTGTCTTTCATTGTTGGTATTTAGTGCATGGAGGTGCTAGTGAGTTCTCAAAGTGAATTCTCATTGGCATCTGCATCAGAATACATTGCTGCTGCTGCTGCTGCTACTAAGATTTACTGAGAGGTTCCCGTGTGTCAGGCTCTGTGCAAAGCGCCCTACTTGAGTTCTTTGAACATAGCCCACCTAGCAACACTTTTGCAAATTCTGAGTTTATGGATGACAAAACTAAGGCTTAGAAAGGCGACAGCTGACTTGCCTTTGCTTACATCATTAGCAACTCTTAGAGCCCGGATTTGAACCTGTGTCTGAGATTAATACCTATAAAGTTATCCTTCACCCTGGATGGCTTCTGATAGTGCCCTCCTCAAAGCTGCCCTTCTGTGCACTTGGGTTTACTGTCTGGAGAGGAAGGATGCTGTTCCTTTTGAAGGTAACTTGCCTTCATCTAAATAACATTCTCTCTGCAAGCATACTAGTTCTCCTAGAAAACAACCTTCTGAATCTTACAACACCCTGGGTGACAGGGAGAAACATGAATCCCCACTCGTTAGGGATGTGCCTCCTTGTTCTGGAGCAAACCCTTTCTTCCCATCCCTACTTCTCATCCAGTTCTATTACCATTTACATCACCTGGTTTCCCAGGACCCCTCCCCCAACACACACACATACACACACACTGTGACAAAAGGCCTCTTTGGTTCAGGGAGTCACGGCAGGGGTGAAACCACACTGTAATGTACAAGATTTGCGGAAGTGAAGAGTTGGTAGATGCCAGCATCCAGTTCCTCCTGATCAGTTCTTGCCTTGAACTTGAACCTATGAATGGCTTCCACGTCTGAACGAGCCCTGACGGGGACGGGACAGTCAAAGCTTTCCCACTCCTGTCAGCAGCATCCTGCTTCTGACAGGACCCCTGTACTATTCTGGGACTCAGGTGGGCCTCCAACCACCAACTAGACCTGGCCCCCAGAGCTCTGGGTACACAGGTAGTAGCCCTGGGATAGTATTCTCCCGTGTATACTCTCCTCTCCCAGCCTACTTTGGTCCAGGCTATAGAGCAGGCTTCTGCCCTGAGTCCCACACCACAGTGTGATTTGTTGTCTCTCTCATACTCCAGATCCATGGCTCCCCCATCCCCTTTGCCCTGCCTCCCCCAGTCAGGGTCCTGTTCTGAAGCCTCATGCAGCAGGTGTGTATTTTGTTTTTTCTGTCTTGCTCCTTCCCGCCTAGCTCCACTGGGGCTGCTTTCTACCCCCAGCCCCCAGGATGGGTCTTGTTGCCCGTGGCGGACGCTTGGGTATTGGTCACCAGCCTAAATCCACCTTCCAGCCGCTCCTCCCTCCTGTTCAAGGCGACAGGGAGGGATCTATGAGCAGTGCTTGCTTGGCTTATAATACCCTGCCTGTCGGTTCTTGCCCCTCTGCACGTCACCACGTTTCTTCAATCATTTGGGCACCACTACCTGCTTCAGAAGCCCTGCTCACTTGATGGAATTAATTTCAGAGTGAATTTGACTCTAGGGGCTGTGCCTCTCACATGCTTGATGGGTGAATTTCACGACTGAGTTATAGAATTAGAGGCTTAATCTCACCACCACCCCAAGCCCCAACACAAAATGGTTGAATAGAACTTTGATTTTTCGTAGAGGAAAAGGAAATCTGGAATATGAACCGTGTCCTGACCCCCAGGTTCCCGGCATTCATCCTTCTGTTCGTACTGCTGGTGGGGTATGTGTCTGTGTGTGGAATGATTCTGGGGACCTTTGTAAATAGCTTGGGAAGAATTGCAGGCTGCACTTAAAGGGGAATCTGAAGGCTAGCTGGCCTGGGTGGGGCTGGGTGGTAGGTGAGGAAAGTCATTTTACCGACGTTGGCGGTAACTTGTTCTCTTTCCAGGGCAGAGGGATGATGGCTGTTGGCATGGGGACAGTCATTTATTGCTGCTTCCCAAGGAACAGAAAAACAGTGGCCATAGAGTAGATAGGACAAAATGTGAATTATTTCAGTAGAGGATCTGATTGATTGATTTAATCTTATTTTTGAGGAATGCTCATTCCTTTAAGGCAAGAAGTAGCACACAGTAATTAACTAATGGGGTTATCTGAGGTCTTATTTGCAGAGCCAAAAATTAGTATGGAAGAAAAGATATTCTCTCCTACCTTAGCCAGAAACTCACATTGCTTCATCTGAGGTTTGGGTAGGTATTTGAAATGAAAGGTCAAGGGATAGCACAAGGAAGAAAGTTTTGCTTATATTGGTCACTTGTTCCAAACTCTGTTTTAAGAAATGCATTTAATTCCCCACCGTAATGGTTGTGAATATCTGTCCTTCTTCAAAGACATTTTACAAATGTCTGGGTGGATTTTTTTTTTTTTTTAGCGCTCAACCTAAAACTTTATTGCACACTGACAAGATAATCAGATATATTTTAAACGCTTAATAGGAACAACTAACAAAAATATTGAAACCAAATACAGGGGTTAGAGAGAAAAATATCATTGCTTACTAAAAATATTTAAAATAAATACTGCTATAAAGAACACAAAAAGCATTTTTTTTAATCACGTCACTAAGAAGCCCGAGTGGATTTTTGATGGTTAATGTAAGTATGTTACAATCTACAAACACTTCTTTCTAATAATAGTCTAATGGAAAAAGCAAAGGACTACTATAAAGCAGATTACACAGTGTTTGGTACACAGAAAATGATCAATAAAGGTTAGTTATTATTATTGTCAGATATGTCCACTACATGTATAACTTTCGGCAGCCCACAGAACTCTCTCACATATGAAAGTGGCTTGCCTCTATCCTGGGGTTATAGCAATAATGAATGAAGATAATTAAAAATGCTTTGAAAACTCGAAAGCGACAATCCAAGGCAAGACACCGTCATTTCCCTTATTTCCCAACAGGCTTCTGAACTGCTTTATCATTAGCTGGTGTGTGCTCCTGGCATGCGAAGTGGTTTTATTATTCACTGAAATCAATGTAGTAAAGTCAGAAAACCCTAGTGCATGTGATGGGAGACATACTCCACACCAATGCCCAATACAAGGGAATGCTGGCTTTCTCCAGTTTTTTTTTTTTTTTTAAATCATAGGGTGACTTCCACCAATATGGACAACTGGCTGTGGGCTACATCTGGTCCTTCATCTCCTTAATTAGCCTGACCTGGTGGAGAAGAGTACTTCCACATTGGCCTCAGGAAACAGCGCTTTCGGAGGGTTACCTGTAGGTTGTATCAACACTCAGGTTGGCTGCAGCTAACTCTGATGGAGGCATCCACGCAGGTAGTGTGTTCCCAGCAACCCATTTTGTCCACTCAAATAAACCAGGCTCTACGCGGATCTTCAAGTGATTTTCTTGTTGTAAACCTTAGAGGGAAAATAAAATGAAGATGAAGGAAGTATTACTATGTTCTCAGTGGAAAAGTAAATTAGAGGCCAAATTGTTACAAAAATGCTCATAAACCTTCTATTCTCTTTCCTAGCAGATGCTATATATAGCTTAAGGAAGTAAAGTAGGCAGGTTTGGACAAGAGTTTTTAATTTTTGTGTTATAAGCACGTGAGTTTATTCTGGTCACATCACCAGGATGTATGCTGGCTTTAAATGGTATCTGATTAAAGAAAAAGTCATTATCCATATAATTTATTACAGTTCTGTGACTACTATAATTCCTCTTTCTAAAGTAAGTTCCAAGATGTTCTTACCAAGAAACTTCAGAAATTCTCAGCATCCACTGTTTTACAATAGCTTACATTATATTTGCGTATCATAGAGATAGTTCATTTTCTCTACTAGAAAATCCAGTGTTGAATATTTACCAATGCCAGTGCACAAGTCCTGTGTTTTGTGATTGTGTAACTGTCCTCAGAGTGGGAACTGTCCCTGTTTAACTCTTTGTATTGCATTTAGCCAACAGTTTTTCCTTGCAAATGTGATAGAGAATGCGTTTGAATATATAGATGCATTCTGGCTTAAGGTTAACGAACAGAAGTCTCAAACGTAGTGTACTTTCCTTGTTGACTCAGCTTTTTCTGGCTTGTCTGTTTGGCATAAGTAAACAGTCAACCCTGTTTCTTCTAGTTTTCCTTCCAGTGAAATGAGAATGGAGATTCCTGTAACACAAGCTTCCACGGATTTTAGGGTAAGAGCTGAATATCTTTATAACAATGGTACGTTTGAACTTCTTCCAATGAACTAAAGAAACAAGGGTGATTAAGATTTACAGACACCTAGGAGCACCGTTCCCTGTCGTAAAGAGGCAAACAGAGCAGAGTGGGAGGAAACAAAGAAAAAACAAAACAGAAAAGGATCACGCTCTAGGCTCTAAATTACTGCCAGAGAACAATATTTTACAAGCCTCTAATTCATCGAAGAGAGCTTTACATTTTCAAGAAAAACATGATTTGTATATTCTCTTGATCTCACTTCCGCTGCCAGAGTATGATTTGGGGACTTTTGCAAAGTCATCTTCCAAAAGAAAGAATCACTGCTCAACATTTCAGATTCAAAGCTTTCAACTGGCTAATGTCCCCTGAGTAGGATAATTTGTGTCAGGTTGCCTGGAGACGGAGGGATGGGCTAGCTGACCTTTATCCAGTCTCACCTTTCAAGATGTTGTACGCAGTCTGCACACAGCGCAGGGACGGGGAGCAGTAGACATGGTCAATGATGGTGTTACTCTCTAATAAGGCTTCACCTGCGAAGGAAACCAGAGAAGAATCCATCCGATGATTTACGAAGCCTCAACTTGACTCTCAGTGTCGGAGCGGGTGCCAGACAGACCCTGCAAACCTCTGTTTCCAGGTGGGCGCTCACATAGGGCCAGCAGTTTCAGTCTCATTTTCAACAACTCTCCTGACCAGTGTTTCTGTGAAAGACCAAGGGATACACCCTTCTTGTCTATTTTCTTTCTGTCTCTCTGGTCCTAACAAGCAGTAAAATGCCCGTTTCTCTCTCATGGATAAAGTCTAAATGCCTTAACATGGCGGTCAAAGTCTTCCATGAACTTGTCTGTCTCTATCCCGCCAGCCTTGTCTCCCGCCCTGGTCACAGCTGATGCTCTAGAAACAAGAGGCTTGTTTCCTCTGCACTGTGGACACTGCTTCTCATGTCTATGACTTGATGTTGATCCTCCCACTGAGATGCTGTCCCACCTTCCTACTAACTTCTACTCTAGTCTCCTCTCATGTCTTCTTTTGTGCTCCCATGATACTTTGTACATAGTTCTATTCTTGAGTAACAAGAATACTCTATATTATTTATCCACTTACAAGCTTCGCCGAGGGTGGGGACTCACGCTTAGGTCCCCAGTACCTAGCATGGTGCCTTGCACAAGGTAAGTGATCAATTGACGTGTGTTAAATGATTGAACGGACAAGGCTGCTGCTGGCTCTGTGTGGCAGGTATGGACCTAGATCTGCAAAGAACTGAGCATCTTGGAGACTGGTGGGCCTCTATATTTTCAGCCACTCCTGGGTTGCCTTCTCATCCTTGCGCTAGAAGCTGACCTGTCTGCCGCACCAAGCCTGACCTTGCCCCATCACTGGACCGTCTGCCCCTTGATAGGGATCACACCTTGTTCACTTTGGCAAACCAACGCAGTGCCCTGGACCTAATGGTTACATAATAAATCCCTTTTGAATTGAGGAAATATAGTACTTGTAGGAAAGCCCCAGGCAGCATTTTGGCATCCCCACTGGAGCCAGTCTTTGGAAGAAGTCGCCAGGAAAGGCTGTGTGATCACTCCAGGACACTTACCCACGAGTCTTGCTTGCATACATCCGAACACGGTGATTGGAGCATCTTTCTCGTAATCTCGGAAACCGCCACTCCGCTGAGGTAAGCTATGAGGCATGTTCAGGTTAGTGCGTACGTAGCGACCTGGAAAGAAAAGTCAGGCCGAGGCGACGTGAGTTTCCTATCTCCTTAGGGCTTCCACTGCTGGTCCTGCCAGCCCCTCCACTTCCATTCCTTTTTGGCCACAGAGACTGAACTGAGCTCTCTAGAAAATATTGAAGCTGACCTCCTCCTTTAGTACTGTGTCCTGGAATCCACGCTTCCATTCCGCTGACGGAAGAGACAAGAGATAGTTTTTAAGGGAAAGTAACAACCGGACACTCTAAAGCAGGTAGGATTCTCTGAGGTGCAAGCCTCCCTATCTTAAACATGCCACCCAAATGAAAATGGAACCAAAATGAGCCAGGGAGGTCTGGTCATGGACCAGAGGGAGGTCTGGTCATGGAATCGAGACACCTGTCTCTGCCTCTAACTTTGCCATGTGGCTGTGGGGCAAGACATCTGCCTTTTTTGGTCCATGGTGTCCCAGTTTATAGAATGGGGGTAAGAACACTTCTCTCTCCCCTAACACTCCAATCTGGAAGGACTTATAATGTAACAGATGACAGGCATTTCATAAATGACTCCATCTAGATAAAAGTAGCTTGACTCTGCCCCCTAGAGGCCATGATAGGTATGCCAATGCTGAACAGGCCCACCAATTACTGACCTTTGGCGTCGAAGCACTGGGATAGCCAGTACTTCCCAAAAACGACATCCATCCTCTCACCGTGCCGACACACAAAGAGGCATCTCTTCTGAGGGCCAGGCTGGCCGCTGATCCTCAGAGGCTGCAGAGAAAGAAAGGCTATAAGTGGGGACACACACATAGACACGTCTCAGAGCTAGCTGGGTGTCAGGTGAGCTGCGCTCTAGAACGAGTTTCACTAATGTTCGAGTGGGATAAGCCCCTTAACTGCCTCGGATTTCTATAAGATGGGGGTGGTAGGCCTCATGTACTGACCTCGCAAGTTATTTTGAGGCTCAGATGAGAGGCACTGCAGGTGCTTTGCAAAATAAGAAGGGCTACGAAAATGGTTTTATTGTTACTGCTGTGCTGTTGGTAGGATTAGTATCTGGCCAATACTGAAACACGAAGACCACCTGAGTTACAGCTCAGGGGCAAAACTAGCCAGGATGGAGAGACGGCCATGTAGCGGGACAGCTTCTTCCCCTAACGAGATGCTCCATCAACTTCTTCAGGGAGCGAGGACTTTTATTACCACAAATACATCTGCCACATCTCCACCGTGTGGTGGTCCGAAGGCTACTCCGGCCAGGAGGTCCCGCTTTGCCCATTCTAATCGCAGGTTAGGCTCTGTGGTCTCGCTGCACGCAAGACGGTGTTCCCAGAAGTGGCTCGGGGAGGGCAGTTGCTACCTCTGGGTGATGAAATCGGCAAGTCTAGTCAAAGGCTTGTCCAAACGGCTCTGGTTTCTAGAACTACTGCGTGGATCCTTACAGATGTTTCTAGGTTCCTTCTTTCTGATGGAGTCAGCTGTTCCCAGCTTCCTCAGGGCTGCCAGCTCCTACTGGCTTCACATTTGCCAATACAGTACATACACTTTACAAACTCCTCCATTCTGTACCCTTTCTGGCATATATCGGACATACACTGAGCGTTCACTAGGTGCCAGGAACGGTGCTAAGAACCGTATCCTTATTTCCTTTCATCTTCACAATGGCCTGTAAAATAGATTAGATACAGTTGACCCTTGAACAACTTGGGTTTGAACCATGCAGGTCCAACTAATACACAGATTTTTTCCCCAAAAGTAAACACTACGATAAAATCTGCAGTGTGTTGAATCTGAGGATGGAGACCCGTGGATCTGTAGGAAGCAAACTGGGTAGGTGGAGGGCCAGCTGTAAGTTGCAGGTGGATGTTCCACTGTACGGAGCATGGAGGGTCGGCATTCCTAACCCCCGCGTTGTTCAAGGCTCAACCGCGTCACTACTTTACAGATAACATATCATCCTCTCTGCAGAGCAGCCTTCCTTACCAGCCTAGACCCAGATGCTGGGAGTCATTGTCAGCACCACCCATCTGACTCTTCCTAAGCCTTAAATTTTTATATATCTTTTAGGCTCTTGTGCCCTGAGAGATAGGTAACCCTTTGGGGGCAGCAAGGGCAAGGCCTCCTCCTTAGTAAAAAGGTGCTCAGTGAATCCTGAGCAGAGTTGAGGAGGCGGCCCTGACAGTCAACCTTACCTGGGTGGGCTGGCAGATGACGGTCAGGGGCGTCGTATCCCCCAGGCCCTGGTCCTCATACTGCCGCCTCTCCAGGATGCCATCCCCAAATGAGAGCGCATTGGAAGATGATGTATTTAAGATCGAGTAAGAACTGCAGAGGAAGACAAGGAAGACGTTAACTGCTTTGGCCAGAAGTCATCAGCACTTCACCCCTGGGCTCAACGGGACTGTGGGAATGAGTAGGAGACACTCCCTGGGGCGGTGCAATGGCTGGGAAAGCCGAGCAGGGGGCATCCCATGCCTGCAGAGGAACATCTTTTTAAAAAATTGCTTATTGAAGTATAATTAACTAACAATATCATATTAGTTTCAAGTGTACGACATAGCGATTTGGTATTTTTATAAGGAACATCCTGTTTTATACTGAAGTCTTGCAGTTAATAAATTAGTGGTAGATGGATTTCTGTACTTGGAACAGATGCGTTCATCCCTGTGGGCAGGGATGGGGCCTGTGATTCTGTGCTTATTAGGATGCCACAGGCGTGGCTGGCACCCAAAGCATGCTGCAGAATAATGAGGTATCAATTTTGTACCATTGTCTCCAGCTCTTTTTCTGGCTCCAAGAAATAAACAATTCCTGTTGCCTTTAATCTTTTCCATGGTGATTTCCATCTGAACTGACAAATAAGAGGGAGGATTTTGACCGTCTCTACCACTTTGCCTGTGGCGCCTAATGGTCAAGGAAACCTTTGCCCATTACCCACTACTCTACCTCCTTCAGTTTCCAAACCCCTCCCCCATCTCAATCATACCTCCAACAAGATGATTAAATACAGCATTTTTCCAGAGGAGACCATTCTCACCAGATGTGTAGAGCTTTGAGCCAAGAGCTCTCATTTCTGGATGTAACACTGTAACTACAGAAGCCCCAAAAGAGGTCTTGCTGAAAGACAGGCAGCAAATCATGCTGTGTTTAAATTATTTTGATTAGTAAGGCCTCCAAAAAGCTTTATCTAATAAACACTGCAATTCAAATATGGTTGTTAGGCAAATCCAACAGACATCACTGGGCAGCGTCAAGGGAGAACATTTAAATTTTAGATTTCTTGCTTCTTTACAAATAGGGTAAAGTTCCGTATGTATAAAAGAGCACTGAATCTAAAATAGCCATTAGCTTTATGGTTATTTAATTTTTTAATATTTTGGGGTTATTTCTAAGGAAATCTTGTACCATTCACACAGTCTAATAGGCTGGTTGCTTTCCTTTATTTTAAACCGAGACCCTCCCAAACATCACACCGTTAAAGAAAATTCATTTTCACTGTCTGAGTCATCACAGCTTCAGCGCCCGAGATGTCTGGATATATGGAATCATCCTGACATCTTACTTGTACATGTTCCCTAATTTCTTTACTTTATTACAGCTGTGAAGACACTGCTAGAATCCCTCCTCTCTCTCCTTCAGCTCAGCCGGCAGCGAGACTGCCAGCCTCCTTCTCTTCTCAACTGTCACTGTCATCAAAGCCCCCGACTCACTGAGGCAGTTTGGGGCTGTCAGTTCCAGTAAGACAATAGTCAGATGCTTCGTGTTGAGCGCAGAGTAGGGAGAAAGCTGCACCTGACGCCCAGCACATCTTCTCAAGCATCGGAGAGACACTGGCACCTCCCTAGGACACCTCAGGGCTGTGTGTCAGCCGAGAAGGACCGGCCAGCCTACCCCAATTTAGAGGACACGGCGGGACTTGCACCAATTGGTACGTATCTGGAGGTGCTCAGAACCCGGCAGGGTGCTCTAATAAGGGTGGTAGGAAAATATTTCCTTAGGAGGGACTCGGAAAACTGAGGACGGGGGAGGAAGAGTTGTGAAGGGCTGCTGACCCCAAGTCCCCACTTGTTGGTTGCTTGAATCCCCTCTGCAACTTCCCATCAAGTCGGCCACGTCATGCTTGAGGACCCCGTGGCTCTCCCTCCCCCAGGCTACCTGTCATTAGGGGCGAAACAAGGCTGTCTTACAGGAGCTGGGCTCTGCCTCGCTGAGTCATTTCCACTTCTGGGGTTAATTAGGAAAGTGCAGTTCTTCTATAGGATCGCTTTTGTGGAAGAGACATTTGATTTGACAAGCATGTAAGAGAGGACTAGAAAAGACAAGTTAGAAAAAGAAAATAACCGTAAAGCCAATGGCTCTTGTAGATTCAGTGCTGTTTTAGACACGGCCCTGATCCACATAAAGCTAAGTCCTTTACAGCAGTGTTCACACACGCCTCTACGGGAAAGGCAATTATCATCTCCATCTCCTAGATTAGCAAACTGAGGCTCAGAGACGTCATGTTAGTTGGCCAAGGTCACACAGCTGGTGAGTGGGAGAGTCAGGATTTGACTCTAAGACTACTGGAGTAAAAACTCAAATTCTTAATTACAGTGTCCTAACAAACACCTAGTATATTAGTATTTCCCCCACTCTCAGCCGGGTTGGCTGTAGCAGCTGATAGTGAAATTTCAGACATGGTTCCCAGGGAAATAACATCACTAGTAATCTCTCAGAATAAAGGGAGATGACACACAGACCTCCCTGGGATCCATGGACTGAGGTCACTGAGGATCCCCTCCCATTTCAGCAGAGCTCTAACTTGGGCAAGAGTGGGTTTAGATGCAGAGATCTGAACCGGGTCAGCAGAACTTCTCCCACATACTCTTCCCACAGGGAGCCCTACTTTTAAGAATGTGATCTGGGAGCTGTATATCATCAAATAATCTTTTGATTCTCCGTTTCTTCACATATATTATGCTTTTTTTTTTTTTTTTTTTTACAGGGATAAAACGGTGACTTTGGAAACCCAACTTAGAAACATTTCTGAAAAAGCAAAGGTCCGGGGGGACTTTCCTGGTGGTCCAGTGGCTGAGACTCTGTGCTCCCAATGCAGGGGGGCCCGGGTTCAATCCCCGGTCAGGGAGCTAGATCCCACGTGTCATAACTAAGACCTGGCACAGCCAAATAAATACATAAATATTAAAAAAAAAAAAAAGTAAAGGTCTCGGGAACACGAGGCAGCTTTGACCTTCCAATTTGTGCCCCCAAATGCTGGATGTTCCTTGGGTGGGGACAGGGAAGGAAGAGGAAGGGTTGCTGGGGAGGCGGTTATGAAGGAAGAAGATATTCCTTCCCATCCCTGGGTTTGTGGTTTATTGGCTTGCTGCTAACCAGGGTAGGGGACTGTCTTTTCTTTTCTTCCTCCAGGCAAAACACTCACTGAAATTGCCTGTCTCTGTTATTACTGTCATAAAAGAGAAGCAGTGTTACACACCATGCAGCTGGTGCTCAGAGCTTCCGGCTCTCAGCCACGTTGGCACATGGCAAGAACAAGAGGGAGGAAAAACAAACCAGCACGCACACCCTGGCCAGATGCCCGCGTGCACCAGGGAAGGGCTGGCTTTGAACTCCTCCGATCAAGAAACATAAAAGAGGAACAAAAGGCACCTCTCTCTCAGGACAAAGCTGGTCATGCAGCACAGGTCACTCTCAACGTGGGACCAGGGTGGTTTGGGGGCAAAGCAGGAGTGAGGGATGGGTGGAACGCTATCACTCTCCAGAAAACTTGGGTGGGGGAGGGACCGCTTGCCTTTCTAAGGCTCTGGCGGTTGCCCATTGCCACAGAAATGGTCTCTGTCATCTAGGCATTCACATGCCAAGTCTCAGGACTTGCTCGGGGTCACCTCACGGTGAGGGGCGGTTCGGTTTCCTGACCCTTGCAAATCCTTTCACTACTGGTCTGGCTGGCATAGTGGGAACCTGTCCTGCTTCTCTGGGGAGTCAGACCCCTCCGTGCAATGACCCAAGAAAGAGTGGACAGAAGCCCCAAAGCCATAAAGACTCAGTGCTGGGATGACCCACACTGAGGCCAGAAGAGATGGTCCCCCACGCAGCCTCAGTTTAGTCTCCAGTCAGGAACTCAGACAGATGTTACATCCAATGGAGGCAGGCAGAGCAAAGCAGGGCAAGCCATCTCCCATTCTTCTCATGCCCCAGCTCAGCCCTTCCCTGAAAGTCTGGAACCAATAGGGCTTTCTTCCCCCTCGGACTTCATTTACTGGCACTGCTGCCCTGCCCGTCCAGGATCAAGTCCGTTTCCCTGCCACCTCCTCAAACTCCACAATGTTCTTTGAAAAGCAGCAGACAGAGAACTTAGCATCTGCTCACCCATGAAATATCCAGGTGCTGCACTCGTCAGCCTTGGTGATGTAGTTCTCAGGCAGGAGTCCGGAGCAGCCTGTGGTTAGGGACGTGCCATAGATCCAGCCCTCGCTGGTGCTGGTCTGCTCCATGGGCGACATGAAGATGAAGTCCCCAGGGACCAGCTCCAGCTCATCGTCGTTCTGCGGGGTGTAGGGGTAGATCACCTGTAACGTCTGAAAAAGGAGGAGAGGGATGCGTGAGGCCCACATCTGACCCATTCTTCTGAGCGCCTCCAGGGCCGGTCTGTGTGCTCTGCTCTAACAGGGCACACGTCCAGAAGCTGACATTGACAGGTGCCCCTGGGGTCTGCAGGCTCTGAGGAGATCTGGATTCAGATCAGAAGGCGTTTCTTCTCTTTTCAGGGTACTGTGAGTATGTGCTGGCGCTCCTGGCTGTCTCCAGACTTTCCTTCAGGCATGTCTTTGCTTCAAAAGATACGGTTTTTAGAAATTCATCTGAAAACCTGTAGGCTCTCCGGTAAACTTCTATACAAACGGGGTTGGACCTAGTTTTCTCTGCTCCGTCTGCCGGGGTAGGTGCCACAATAGACCCTGGAAATGCAACTCACGGGAAGGGAGTCTTCCATGCAGATGTCACCGATGCCCAGATGGAGACTCCCCTAGGAAGGCTTTGGGAATGAAGTGTTCTCCCTTCCATGTAACTCAGCGGCTTAAACAAGACATGGTCCCTGCCTTCAAGAAGCTTTCTTTAGGGCTTCCCTGGTGGTGCAGTGGTTAAGAATCCTCCTGCCAATGCAGGGGGCACGGGTTCGAGCCCTGGTCCAGGAAGATCCCACATGCCGCGGAGCAACTAAGCCCGTGCGCCACAACTACTGAGCCCACGTGCCACAACTACTGAAGCCTGTGCGCCTAGAGCCCCTGTTCTGCAAGAGAAGCCACTGCAGTGAGAAGCCCGCGCACTGCAACGAAGACCCAATGCAGCCAAAAATAAAATAAATAAAATAATTTAAAAAAAAAAGCTTTCTTTAAACCTCCATTTTTAACAAAGGCCTAGAAAGAAAAATATCTTTCGCAGCCATCAGTGTGTCATGTCTGTAAACAGCTTTTGTCAGTGAACAGATGGAGACCACGTGTTCCTTCTTTGGGCTCAGAAAAAGCCCCCAGGGCCAACCTCAGGCTATGCCACTTGGCTGATTTATTCCACTTTTTGTCTCCTTTTCTGGTATATAGAAACATCACAGGCATAGGCATGAAGATGCTTTGGAAAACATTTCTTTTACTCCATTTTTGTTAACAGCAGGAGACCTCAATAGTAAGGAAAATATTTTCTGTGTTTCACAAGGGCTAAGAGGGGCTGTTCTATCAGCTCTTCCTTTGATCTTGAAGCTACCAGTGGCAGGCAAAATATTCTGGTTCCCACGTACAGGTTTTTAACTTTGGCCTCTGTTTTCTCATCTGTCAAATGATACCCGGACTATAAAAGTTAAATGAGACGACCTAAGAAAACTCCTGAGGCCTCTGGTACACAGAAGGAGCACAATTATTTCTATGACCCATGATGGCTGGCTTTCAAGGGGTTACCTTTCCGTCTAGCTGATGCTGACCCCTGAATCCTGTGCTGGGTAGGCTTGTGAGCTCATCAGCTCACTGGGGTCAAGGTGATACATCAGAGCATGTCAATAAAGAATTTCTTTCTGGCAGTTGCTAATGAGAGGAGCCAGTAAAAATATGATTTTCCCCCCAGAGAATGAACACGATAATGTACAGAACTTGACTACCTGCTCCACTGGATTTCTGATGTCCCCTTCAGCCCTAGATCTTCTTGCATCCCATCGCCTTCCCACTCCTCTGCCACATACTCACTCAAACCATGTTTCCACACTAACCAGGAAGGTTTTTTTTGCTGCGTTGTTAAAAGAGCTTAAAGAAAACAAATCTTAAATCTATAGGCTAGGTATGTGCTGAGACACCAAAAGGAACATTCCTTTTCCTGGAACAGGGTGGAGAGAGGCACCAAGTCACGGGGAACAAGTCTAAACTCAACTCAGGTTCCTCAGACACTCAAGTGCAGCATAGTCCTGGCTGATGATGCCTTTGACTTGGCAGAAGTGTCTCTTCTTTGAGAACCTCAAAAATGACTTGGGAGAAGAACTCATTCCTCCTTTCACTTGGGGGCGCTGGGCTAAGTGTTCTAGCTCTAGGCGATCTCCAGGGAGATCGAGGCACAGAAAGGAGCAGAGGGGACATCGTGTCCTGGGCAGAGGGTAGTTGGACAATAAGGAGCTTTGATTTATCGAATAATCAATAAGAAAACCATCAAGGTATTGCGGCAAATCTCAAATTATAACCGGTGCCCAGGTCCCCATAGCCCTTTCGCACTTACCAAAAGCGTGTGCAAAAGTCAGCCCAAGTTTGGGGGATCTCAGCTCACGTGCCTAGTTTTGTCCTATGTGGTACTCTTTTACGTTTAGCATCTACTTGTAAGCACTCTTGAGTCTGTCTCAAGTATGTTTTCCCTCCCTTCCTACTTGGGGACTAAGCTCAAAGTTTGCTGACTGACATCTTGGGAAGGGCAGATACAGCCCCAGGTGATGACAGGAACTGACCCTCTTTGCCTCTGAAGCCCTTTTTACTCTCAGTAACAATAACAGCTGTGGCAATTTTGTCGTTGTCGCTATGCCCACTCTGTGCTGGCTCTTACGGTAGGACCTTTCCATATGTCCTCTAGTTCATGCGACAGTCCAGCAAAATATTGTCGGCATTCTGCACACAAGAGAACTAAGGACCGGATTATTTTCTAGAAGTTGTAAAAGCGAATCTAACCACCGCTAAAGTGAGGGAGCCAGGATTTGAAGCCATGTGTGCCCAACTCCAGAATTTATGCTTTTTCTGTAACTCTGTCCTTCCTCTAGATTTCTAGTGCTTGACACATAAAACTGGCATGGCACACTGGGATGGCTAACGTGGAAGAGATGGTGTGAAGTACAAGCAAGCATTTGCACGCCCACATCAAGTGAGCATCTGAACAGAAGAGGGGTGAGACCCCAGAGGGTTCCAAAGCATCACTTGCTGAGTGTCCTTGCCTAAACCACTGGCCTCCTCCGGACATCCGTCACCTCACTGGACCAGTTAATCAATCTGCCTCCTGGGCACAGGAGGAGGAGAAAGGCAAGTAGAGGTTTACATATGCAGGAGGGCACAGCTAAAGCCAGATGACCTCGGACGGAGAACTTTATCAGGAGGAGCAGTAATAAATGAGCTTTTACAAATAAGAGATAAAAGAGGCCATGTTATTTTTAGAAAATAATTCATGTGGGCGCTAGCTGCCTCTTTCCCTCCGTGCCAGTTGAGCAGAATGTGGGTCAGGCAGAAAAGCAATTACCCTCTGAGTTAACTGGAGGGCAGTGTTGATTAGAAGATATTCCTCGGAAAATTCCATCGCCACCTTCCTTCTCTTAGAAAGGTGACTGCTCACCGTCCATTGGCATGCCACCCTTGACTTTTTTTTCTCTGCCCTCGGAAGGAATCCAGCCAGCCACACCTCTCTCGTTCTATTTAGGGCTCATGCTAAGCAAGTCCAGGAGATTTCAGAATTCTGAAGTAAGATTAAGCCCAGTCTCCTTGCTGTGTCTTTAGAGAAACTTGCATCAAATGACTTGGAAGGAGGACATGACATTCCCATCAGCAGAGCCAGACAAACCTGTACGTCCCTGATACTCTCGGGCCCCGCGCACAGTCCTGGACCTTTGTCGTGGGTTGGCTCTTCCAAACACTTCCAAAACAACGATGAGGTCGCCTGGCCTAGACCCTGACTTTCTAACTCTTTTTCATATTTAAAAAACACATCTAAAACAGATGTTAAAAGGCTACGTAAACGAACAAAATATCAGTTCTTTTGCTGCTGAAAAACTAGGAAACGATTTATACATATGTTTCGTAAATGTAGTTAAACTGGATGACAATTGTTGCAAACTCTGTGGTCTTTTTTTAGACGGGCTGCCCGTCTTCATTGGTCAGAACCCCTGGCTTCTGGCTTCAGTTCTGGTCCTAAATTGCTCTTTAGCTTTGGACCAGCCACTGAATCCCTATGTCTCAGCTTCTCCTTCAGGAAAAAAAGGACAATAAGACTCTTCAGAGATGGCACGTGCTTGTCCTGGAAAGCAATGTCAATTCCTTCAAAAGAAGGATGCCAGGACCGTGCCAATCTTTCTGCCTGTCCTGGAATCAGTTGTCCCTCTCAGGTCTCCCATGTGATACACACAAACTCTCACAATATTTGGTCTGTGCTTTCATTTCATATGGACCACATTTTAAAATTCCCTGGTGGTGCAGTGATTAAGAATCCGCCTGCCAATGCAGGGGACATGGGTTCGAGCCCTGCTCCGGGAAGATCCCACATGCTGCAGAGCAACTAAGCCTGTGCGCCACAACTACTGAGCCTGTGCTCTACAGCCCGCAAGCCACAACTACTGAGCCCACACACCACAACTACTGAAGCCCGCGCGCTCTAGGGCCCGTGTGTCGCAACTACTGAGCCCGTACTCCAACTACTGAAGCCTGCGTGCTGCAACGAGAAGCCACTGCAATGAGAAGCCCGCGCACCGCAACGAAGAGTAGACCCTGCTCGCGCAACTAGAGAAAGTCCACGTGCAGCAACGAAGACCCAACAAAGCCAAAAATAAAATAAAAAAAATAAAATTTTAGTATGTTCCATGGTAACTTGCATGCCACAGACACGCAGCAAATATCCGTTAGCTATGTGTTCAGGGTTTGTTTGGGGTCTTTTTTGTATTTAGGTGTTCTCCTCACCTAAGATCAGGATGGTGTCTTCTACCTGTTAATACTGTGAACTGATAGAATATTTAAAAATTTATCAACATGCTTTTCTATCTATTCTCCCATTTCATTTCTATATCACTCCAGTAAGTTTGGCAGGGCAGATAGAACAATGGGGATATTACACTTGGGACCCAGAGACAAGAGATGCAAGCTCAAAGCTTCCCAGTGAGCCAGCCAGTGCTTGGATGAAATTCCAGGCCAGATGACTCCTGGGCATTACTTCCCTTTGGTGTCCATCTCCCCACAGCAGCAAGTGCTACTGGTGCTGATGGCACCCCGGCACCCCTGGCAGAGTCAGGAGCCCCAGGGAGACATTACCTCGTGGTTAGCAAATCGGATATCCCGGGAGAATATGGTCGCCACCCAGTCGCACCCGAGTTTGACATCAATGTTCTGGGCGAGTTTCTCTAGGGTGGGCAGGTGGCTGGCTTGGAAGTGGTAAGCCAGGGTCACGTGCAGCTGCTTCTTATGAGGCTCCACGTGCACTTCTGGAAGAAGGAAGGAAAGAGGCAGCTGTTGCATCTCAATGGTGAAGACAAGGAAAAACACAGAACGGTGCCCTGATAAATCTGTTTCCCAAATAGCAGAGGACAGAGTCCCTCGGTCAGACAAAACCTGTGTCTCTCCTTCACAGCAGCGGAATAAGAGCGGGGCGGGGGATAAAAACCCACAGTCCGAGAGAGAAGGAGCCACATGTCTGGCTTTTCTGGACCAGCTGAGAGACAATCATTTTGATTGGCAGCTGCTCCCAACAAATCCAGATGAGTGTCACTGGCCCCACCATTCAGATGAGGAAACCGAGACCTAAAGGGATGAGCTAGTTTATGTGGAAATAAGGAGCAAATTTTGTCATCATGGGACTCCCCAGGTTATCTTGCCTTCGTTCTGAAATCAAGCCTCTTAGCTTCTGGGTGGCTCTGATGGAGAAATGAGGGGAAAAGATGGATTATTTTCAAAGTTTAAAACAGGGTCTCTCAACATCATTTTGGACCAGATAATTCTTTGTTATAGGGGCTGTCCTGTGCATTACTGGGTGTTTAGCTGCAACCCTGGCCCCTACCCACTAGATGCCAGCAGCACCCCCCAAGTTGTAACAACCAAAACCGACTCCAGACCTTGCCAAAGGACCTCTGGGGAGAGATGGAGCAAAAATCACTCCGATTGAAAACCACAGGTTTAAAGTAGGCAGACTGTTATTCTAAGACACCCTAAAAAGCAAACCAAAAGACACCAGCCTACCTACACAAGGCAAGAGATTTTGTCTTTTGTCCGTCTTTCAGTGAGGGAGATTCACCTACTGTCCAAGCTCAAACACCAAAGAAGACGCAACTAGAGGGAATTTAGGGAATTCCAGAAATTAAGGGGCTTGCTCAAGTCGCACAGAGGTGGAAGAATTGTAGAAGTTGGGGCTGTGGTTTTGAGTACTTTTCTGTTATACCACATGCGTTTCTTTGGTGTAAGCCCCCCGAGGCGAGGGCTCTGTGTCCTGTTCATGGATTATAACCCCCTTACCCCCCAACCCGTGTTCAGCACCCCACGGGCTTTCAGTATTTGTTAAATGAATGAAGACACACAAATGAATCGCCTTAAACCATCAAGGATGGAGGATGACACTTCATCTACTCGCTGACGGAATCTGGGTCTGCCACACGTCTGAATACCATGACACAAGTTCTAGGGCAAAGACCTGATGGCCCGCTTCCCACACCGGGCCACCCAGTTCTCCGAGTCGCCAGCAGGGGGCCGAACCAGGGCCGAGAAGCCAGCCAAGCCCACCGGTTCTTGCAGAGAGGACTCAGATGGCTGGGGAGGAGCTGGCTCGCCCCCTTCCTGGCAGGAAAGCCTGCAAGGGCCCGCCTGCCTTTTGCTCAATATGTACTTTATGAACTGGCCGCGTCCTGCCTGAGACCTGCTTTACTCACTTGCGAATGATTTGGGTTTTGTGGCTACAACATTAGATTTGGTTCTTGTGGGAGTTTTAGTGGTTTTGACAATAGCTACTGTGGGATGAAAAGAGCCATTTCCCTGAGGTGGAGGGATGGGAACAGGAAATAATCTGCCTATGAGGCCATTTCTCTGAAATTTTATGCTCCTGTGAAGGGGGCAGGTTCCACCGAAGTCAGAGAGCAGAGACGAGTCCCTGGGGACAAAGGGGTGGAGGTGGGGCATCTAAGGAGAGCAGGCTCCCAATGCACAGAGGTGACCTAAGGGCCCGGGTTCCTCTGAGAGTAGAGACCTCACTGTGATCCTGTTCAGTGATGCCGGGCCCTCACCACACTCTTCCTAGAGTCCTGAGCCCTATTTGGGGATTTTCTGGTAGAAAAGGCCACTGAGAAATAGGCCCAGAGCTGGGGATGAAAAGAGCAGAGTGGGACACAGGCAGGTGAGGTGGAGGCCAAAGGTCAGGAGCCCAGGGAGCAAAGGGCGGGGCTGGCCAGCTGGGGCCTCTGCCAGCACTGCGTTCAACACTCAGGACCCGGGTGGGCAGCTCACGCCCTCCACTCTGATCAGGGCGATGGCCCACCGGCCCCAGCACCGTGCTCCCTCCTGCCTGCGCTCATGCCACCTGCCCTCCTGCAGGGCCCTATTCCCATCCGGTGGATCAGCGTCCCGGGGTGACTGTCCTTTCTTCTGTGAAGGGGGCCCCACTCCATCATCCCATGGCGGGATGATGGCCTCTCTTCTCACAGCTCTTATGACACGGTGCCTGGAGAAACCACCTCTTCTTCCCTGTTGTGTCCCTCATGGATAAACACACAGTAGGTGCCCAATAAATACCTGCTGATCGTGACTTCATTCTAAAGGGACCAAAAAGACTCCCCGCCCCCCACCGTCTGTCTGTCTCACGGCAGGCGAGGCTCTTGCGGAGCTGTCTGCACCTGCAGTCACACAGGAAGGCTCTGCAAACCTCTGCCTCCTGTCCCGTCTCGCCGCCGCCCGCCTTTAAGTCAGCACACATCCTGAGCGTCCCTCCAAACTGATTCCTTTGACGGTAAACCTCAGTTGTTAGCTTGAACTGAGACCTCCCATGCAAAGAGCAGGTGACATTGTAAAGGGGTGGATAAGGGCCCTTTTGAGGCTTAGGGGCCTGTCTACTGGGCTTCAGCAAGTCGAAAGGTGTTGGCTCAGTGGATTTGATTATTACTGGATGCTAAGTGGTTCCACTCTACTCTCTGTGCTGTATGACCCCCTGAGCAAAGACCTCGGTCCACACGGAGGGGACGGGGAGACCCAGATTAATACCTGCCTGGGATGGGGGTTTGGAGGAGGAAAAGAAGGTTCTTTGGGAATTCCCTGGCGGTCCAGTGGTTAGGACTCCACGCTTTCACTGCCGAGGGCCTGGGATTCGATCCCTGGTCGGGGAACTAAGATCCTGCAAGCAGGGCAGCATGGCCAAAAAAAAAAAAAAAACCACACACAGAAAAGTTCCTTATTTCTGAACAGGGAAGAGATGGTGGGGCTGCAAAGGAACACATTTATAGTTCAATGGGAACAGTCATTTATGTACCTTCAACGTGGGTGTCAGGGAGTAGACACTGGACCTGCTCTCAAGGAGGTTAGCAGAACTGTAATTTTTTTTTTTTTTTTTTTTTCCCGGTATGTGGGCCTCTCACTGTTGTGGCCTCTCCCATTGCAGAGCACAGGCTCCGGACGCGCAGGCTCAGCGGCCATGGCTCACGGGCCCAGCCGCTCCGCGGCATGTGGGATCTTCCCAGACCGGGGCACGAACCCGTGTCCCCTGCATCGGCAGGCGGACTCTCAACCACTGCGCCACCAGGGAAGCCCTGAATATTTTTTAAAGGGGCAAGAGGTGTGGGGTCCTGCAGGAAACGGCTGTGTTCTTGGGCACGTTCTGCCCATTCCTGCAGGACCCTGTACCTCCCGACTCCACCCTCCTCCTCCACAATCATTTCCTGTCCCTTTCCTTCCCGACTTTCCAATTCCCAGGGCCCAGGGCATGCCTGGCAGCTGGAAGCTCACCGGTTTTGGAGGCAGCCTCCGCAGCAAAGTCGGCGGCAAACTTCTTGAGGACCTCTGCGCTGTCTTCCTTCACGAAGAGGCCGATGAAGTTGGAGGAGGTATAGAGCTCCAGGGGCAGCGGGGCTGAGAACTTACACTTCCAGCGACTGACGGTGGTCTGCAGGGCTTCCCCCAAGGCGTCCACCTTGCTGTCCTCACACTGGCAGGGAAACAAGAGGCTTCGCTCAGAGACAAGGGGAGATGTCTGCCGCTACTTACCTTTGGCATCCTCTGCCCAGAGCTGGAGGCTGCTAACTGAACCATCATTCCTGTCTGTGAGCAGGGAGAAGACCTGCAGTCTCCCAATTATCTGGAAATGGATTATCCGACCAGTCAATTAAACTGAGGCGACGGACAACCTCTCCCCTCCCTCTCTCCCTGCTCCGATGTGCTCCTCTGAGCCCCGCCAGAATGCAGTAGGGCCGGTCCAGCAGAAAGCAAGCATGAGGGATGTGCCAAGAGAGTGTACAGCACCCCACGATAAGTCGTTGTGTGTTTTCTACAGTTTTGCATCGTTTGTGCCTTTTCTATTCCACTTACATGATCCAAAGTTGACTCTACCTCCACCCCCATGATACTTGGGAAGAATGAGGCTGCAAGAGCTGCAATATCCTCATCCTCCCCCCGCCTCCCCCGGGCACTAGAAGAAACAATGAGAGTGTCTAAAACTCTGAATGCTTCTGAGAAAGAGCCTGGATGACTAAGAGGAAATGATCATCATTTTAATTTTCAGCATGAATGGTAAAAGAGAAGGTGTTAGGAACATATTTTCACCTATAAAAGGTGGAGATGGGGGAGAATATGAATGAGATTCTGGAAAAACAACCCCCAATATTAGAAAAACATATTGTCTTAAAATGCTACCATTCTGCTTCATTGTGACTATAGCTGGACACGTCAATTCTTCTCCATCTCTGCAGAGAAGCAAAGTAGATGCAGTATGTTTACATTTATTGGAATGAGAGGGATTTGATTCAGTCTCTGCATAAGCTTCGTGACGGCTAGAATTATGGGCTAGGTAACTATGGCAGGGGAAATGTATCCTAGCCATCTCTAGAAAGATCCAGCACGGCAAAACCTGTGGATGGTGTGCAGGAGGCTAAAGTCTCTCCCCCCGTCTATAGACTATGTTTTTCATCCCCAGCTCTCTAATGTCTGCTCTTTCCTCGTGAGAGGGGAGGGAGATGACAGACAGGAGAAGCTAGGTTAGAGAATCCATTCCCCTTGTGGCTACCAGACAAGTGTGTCACCCAGTGGGTCAGGCTTGTCCCCTGGGTCCTGAGGAGCACACGGTCATCACGATGCCACACCAGACCCAGGGTGCACCTAGGTCTCGGCAGGTGTTAGAAAGAGGACCAGGGTGAGCAGCCGTGGACCCCACTGATTCCTCAAAGGCTCACCCAGCTCTGGAGCCCGTGACTGTTTCTACCAACATCCTGAGAGGCTCCCAGCTTGTTTTTTTTTTTTGCGGTTCGCGGGCCTCTCACTGCTGTGGCCTCTCCCGTTGAGGAGCACAGGCTCCGGATGCGCAGGCTCAGCGGCCATGGCTCACGGGACCAGCCGCTCCGCGGCATGTGGGATCTTCCCAGACCGGGGCACAAACCCGTGTCCCCTGCATCGGCAGGCGGACTCTCAACCACTGCGCCACCCGGGAAGCCCAGCTCCCAGCTTTGACTCCAGTCCCCCGGGGCTGGAGGGATGCAGGCGCCCCGGGGTGGGGGGCTGCGGCTCACCATGAAGAACTGGCAGAGGGTGATGTGAGGGAAGATGTTGTGCGCCTTGTTCTTGCCGCAGATCTGCTTCGATTGCTGCCAGAAGTCGGAAAGCTTCTGCGCTAAGGGGCCGGTGGGGCGGAGGTAGAGGACGTACTCCCGGGGCAGGGGGTCATCCAGGAAGGGGTCGCCGACGTGGGAGAACAACCTGCCAGAGAGAGGGGGGCCGAGCACGCCTCACTTGAGAACAATGGAAGCAAAGGGAGAACTGACATCAAGGTCCATCCTGGGCAGCCTCCACCCCACCAAGCACCGCCAGCGGGAGGGTTTTCAGTTTTGTACTTTAAACATCCACCCCTCGAAGCTCACACTTTGTAACCAACTCTCAGATGCACCAACTTCTCTACTCCTGCCTGTCCTATCGCATGGGCATCCCACGACTCCCTCCTAAGGCCGCTCTCCAGGAAGTGTTTTGGATCAACCCCAAATCCTTTCTCAGGCCATCAGTACTGTTCCAGCCCGGCCTGTCCCTCCAGCTCCGTCTAGGATTAAACTCATGTGCCTCCAAAGATGAGGGAAGCTTGGAGGGTCGCCTTGTGGGGTCAGCCCTGGGTAGCGATATCCTGGAAGGTAAGTAAGTAGGATATTTCTAGATCCATTTGCCCGATATCTAGGATGAATCTTTAAGTGAGTGGAGGAGGGGGCGGAAAGCATGACAGAGGCTCTGTCTTGGAAATGCTCTGAATTTCTTTGACAGCTCTGAGGAGAGCACACTCTGGGGCCAGGACGGGGGCGGCGAAGGGCTTGACGCACAGGCTGGTCACATGGTCTTTGGGATCCTTCCCCTCCCCCCCCGCCCCCAAAGGGCCCGTTAGACACAGGCTGCACATCCCTGCTCATCCACATACACTTAGAGTTAATTACATGCTATTTTCTCAATTTATTTATTTCATACCAACCAGTCACATGCTGCCTGAACACTTCTTCCTCCTGTGGATGCCAAGGCTTTTTGTCTGGAAGAAGAAATCAGATTTCTATTGTTAGTATTTTTAGCCTCCTATCAGCTTTTCCCACTGCAGTGGCAAGAGTTGGGTGTGAAGCAGGCACTGTTAAGCCTCCTCAAGGGTGTAGGGGAGACACCTGCAGCAGGGCACCCCCCCAGGGGTCACAGCAAGGCACAGGGACGTTAGGACTTGTGATTAATTTCCATGTAATTAGCATTGGATTTGCGCAGCCTAACAGCCCATGCCGTCTATTTTTAGCCATTTCCACATTAGACTTTTATTTTTGCTTCCCTAAAGGTTGTCATGTCTTCCTTTTCCCTCCTTCCCTTTCACCCACTCACTCTTCCTGACCCAGATCCCCTACAGAACATTTTCTCATTCGCAGCCTCCTGGCAAAGTGTGCTAGAAAATGGTGCTTTTTAAAAATTTTTTTAATTATTTAATTTATTTTTTATACAGCAGGCTCTTATTAATCTATTTTATACATATTAGTGTATATATATCAATCCCAATCTCCCAGTTCATCCCACCCCCACCCCCCACCACTTTCTATTAAGGCCATTGAGACTTGAGGTTAAATGCCCAGAAGGACAATTGGTCTGGTTTAAATCCAGTGCCTCCTCCCACTTTCCTCCAACTACCACCAGCAGCCTCAGACTGGATCTATCGTCTCCAACAATTTTACAGACATCTTTGGGGATGAGTAGCACTTGGTAAAAGGGGCTGGCTGGAGAAGGGCGGCTATCACTCCCACTGTGGGAGAAACACTCAAAAGTACTGTGCATGGTGGGGCAGGATCACAGGGTGGCGCTGGCAGCGAGTCACTGCCCTGCTCACGAGCGTACGAGGAGAGTGCTTCTGAAACGTCAGACAGGTCTCCAAAAGCCAAATAGTTCTGGGTTTGTATCCAGCTTTGCTACTTGTCCGTCCGTTCAGGCATTCAAGTTTATGTTTGCTCAGTACATACCTACTGAATTGCTATGACTTTGTCAGCACTGTGCTAGGCTCCAGGAATACACTGAACCACAAGACTTATATGGTCCCTGCCCTCAGGGAGTTTTCAGTTGAGCAGGCGTGAAAATGTCAACTGCACAAATAATTATTTAATTACATGGGTGGTCAGTGCCATGAGGGGAGAGCACAGAGAACATTAAGCACATAGGATTGGGACACCTGATCTGAGCTGAGCCGAGGGGGAGGGTGGGGTGGGCTGGGTGTGAGGGGCTGTGGTGATGGAATTCACTGAGTACCTCTCCTCTACAGTGAGGAGCCTTGAACAGTGCCTGACTCACTGGAGGCGATCAATAATTGGTTATTCCTATCCCTTTATACTACCCTAATTCAGGGTCCTTGGGAGAGAGAAGAGACGGTAGGAATTTCTAGTTTAAACTGATGTTCTTCCCAAGCACCCTTTTCCTGACTGTCTGCTGAACCCAACTCCTCCTGCCTTTTCCTGGTACCTCTCTGGAGCAATGAGAACCCATGATGCTGTGACAGTCACAGAGGGTCAGATTGGAAGGGACCTAAGACATCAACTGGGGCCCCAATTTCTTCACTTGACACAGGGGGAAATTCAGGTAAAGGAAGACAAGTCACGTGCTTAGGGCAGCCTGGCTGCGGTGAGCGCTGAGTGAAGGGCAGATTCCAGCCTGATTCAAGGCCAGCCTCAGTTGCTCTTTTCCACAGTCCAAAGAGAATCCCTTCTTTTCCCCCACGAAACTCTGAGCACAAATACCAAATGATCAGAATAGAAAAATCTGCACAGCTAAGTAGAACTGCATTCTAGAAGAGAAGCCTACTTACAGTAAGATGAGGTTATGAAGAAGGAAGACCTCAGAACCCCATGGAAGAGAAGCCGGTGCCGAAAAAGCTGGAAACACAGGAAACTCCTTCCCACACCTGCATAAGGTGCTTAATTGTTGCCAAGATGCAAGCCCTGTTTCCTTTACCACTTACTAGATAATCCGAGGTCACCTGTTGTGCTTTTTCAAATCCTCAAGCCGTGTACCCACAAAAGAACACAAAACATGGTCTTTTAGAGGTTAGAATCTTTGAGGGATTAAGCTCACCAAAAAAAAGACCCATTGTTTCAAAAACAATTGGGAAAAGGAAAGCTCGCTTGCAGTACCATGTGCTATTTATATAAAGGATCCAATATTTTTTTTCCTAGGCTCTTCCCCCAAAGAAATATATTTTATCTGAAGTTTAATTTATTTTTCCTTCAGCACTAGGAATGTCCTCTGGAAATGAAAGATCTCATTAAGTTATGGTCCCTGTAACTCAAAAGCCAAGTGCTGGAGAGGATTCAAAGATACAATTGAGAAAGATAATGAAAGGTTTGGGTGATAAGGCCGTGGTGAAAGGCTAAGGAAACGCCAATTCTTTTTTCTGTAGAAGACAAGTCTGAGAGGTCCTCAGCGTTATGGAAGGTTATCATATCGTTGTAGCTTTCCTAGCGAGGGTCAGCCAAAGTAAAAGAAGCTTTGGCAATAGCACAAGGGGCTCACGTTAGATTCCGGAAAGAACGTCCTGGCAGTAACGTGCTTTAAAGTGGCTTTTTGGTTTTGTTTTGTTTTGAAGAAGTTTCTAGAAAGTAGTTACCGATCTGAAACAGGTGTGTGATTCTCTAGGCAGGAGGCTGTAGGAGGAGTGACAGCACTGCGTCCCTCGGGTCCCGAGCCAGAGGCTGAGCTCTGCTACTCCTTCAGCCACCGCCAGGCTGATGGAGGTTTGTGCTGAGTCTGTTCCCAGAACTCTGCCCACAAAACAGACTGAACACAGGCAGTGGCAGAACATCTCTCCGCTCCATCCCACTGAGGAAAGCCTGTTGCCATAGAGTTGCCACCTCCATGGTCCACCGATGGGGTAAATGCCAAGAACCGTGGGGTGTGTGGGGTAGACCCCAAACGCCAGGCTGAGCTTGAACAGCTGCTACCCTCAGAGTGACTCAGAAGTCGGCAGAGCCCGCTGGGCAGATAAAGGGGAAATATCCCTTTCAACTCCAAGGAGAGATTCCTGGATCACAGCAGCCATTGAGTTGGGACTTTCATGGTAAGAATCAGAGGGACGTGTGAACTACTGAGATTCTGCTATTACATGAGAGCACAAATTTGACTTCGGACCCTGGTCCTAACCTTCCCAATTATGTCTAGGGTTCATTCTTAGCAGAGTGTGGAAAAAAAAAAAAAGTGATGCAAACTCTAATGCCTAAGGATGGGGAGGAAGAGCACAAAGCAGATAAAAGCAATGGCTCATCAAAAAACTCAGGCACTCAGCCGTGAGGAAATTAGCCAGATGGGGAGGAACGAGTAGCGCACACTGATAGCCTTGCTTTACTGCGGCTGCGGGGGCTGGGATTCCTGCCACTGTCTGCCCGCAGCTCGGTTGAATTTTGGGTCCGTGGTGGCTCTGGCCCCAGAACCCTGGCTCTACCCAACCACCAGGGTCACAGTTTGTGGGAGGCAAAGCAGCATCCTTCCTTCCTCCCTTCCACCCTCCTTCCCTCCTACTTTCTTCCTACCTTTCTCTTTATTTCCTTCTCCTCCCAAGGAACTCTTAGCAGGAAACCAAATGGACCAATACACCAAAAATAAAACCAAGAGTTTATTGGGTGTCGCTGTCTCAGCTGAAGTTTGACTGGCTGGAGCCCTTTCAGAGACCATGGTCTCTGGTACCCTCGGCTGGATTCGGGCCTGATGAGTGGATTTGGGCTGGTCCCATGTCCGGGTCCAGCAGGATCCTCACTCCCTCTTCAAAACACATGTTCTGAGCCAGACTGGAATTTCCTGCTTAATTGTCACCCAGGCTGACTTCCTCTGCAGCCACCCTGGTGCTCTGGGTTCCACGGAGGTCTCGGACACTCTCAGTAGTTCAGGTCTTCTCAGCCGAGAACCAGCTGTGTGCTAGGCACTGTGTTATCACCAGCAAGCAAAGAAGAGGGAAGGACGATCCTGGACCTCAAAGAGTTCAGAACGCAGATATACAAGCAGCTTCTTACAAGGCGATACGTTAATGGCCATAAGAGATGGGCCGAGTGTGCTAGGGCTGCTCTGAATAGGGATGCTAACTCGGTAGTGGGGCATTCTGGGGGGCTGAGGTTCTCACATTGTCCACAAAGCTACCCTAGGTCAGGATGCCACAGCAAACTCAGAGGTGCCATGGGAAATTGCTAATTTTGGAAGGAAACAAAGCCACCTTCATCATCTGTTGGGCATCCCATAAGCTACTAGTTCGAGGTAGTTACAATTTCTTTTTTTTAAAACTTTTTATTTTATATTGGAGTATAGTTGATCAACAATGTTGTGATAGTTTCAGGTGTACAGCAAGGTGATTCAGTTATACATACACACGTGTCATTAGTAAGTAGTCGCAATTCTTTAAGAATGAAATAAAAATATTATTTTTCTTTCAATTTTGTGTATTATTTTTTCACACGGTCCTTAAATTGTTAGGAGCGACTTATTGAGTTGTTTGGATCTAGCTACTAAATACACAGAACCATTAGGTATTTATGTTGGTCTACAAGCTCTATGTAAAAATTACTCAGACTCTAAGGATGCTATGAACTGAGAAGGTTGGGAATCCGTCTGGGAAGAAACAATGATTGATCTGGATCTTCAAAGCAGAGTCAGAGCTGGCTAGAGAAATCCACAAGGAGAGAAGGGCATCTGAAGCGAAGACCACATCAAGAGCTAATATAGGAAGGTGAGAGACAGCACTGTATGGGCGGGGAAGTTAGAATTTGGTGATACTAGAGCAAAAACGGCAAGGCTTGAAGAAGGTAAAAATGAAGCTGGAAAGGGGACAGCTCACAAAGGTCCTTGTGCTATTTTTTATGCAGCGGGGAACAATGAAGGCATGATCAGATTTGCATGTGAGGGTCAGATTCAAGGGAGATAAACTGTATGCTGGAGACTATTTAAAAGACCTTGACAATCGATCAGAAGAGGGACACTGAGTCTTGAACTATAATGAGGGTGGGGACGTTGCCTAAGATGTTTGGGTTGTTG